TTTTTTTTTTTTTTTTTTTTTTGATAAGAGTCAGCTTCATGGTTTTAAAACGCATCTGTTAGGGAAAGGTTTCCACACTCTTATAAGGAATGTTTCGTTTCCCTCTTCAACTGATGTGGGTTCTCACAATCCACCCTCTTTAGGGGCCAGCGTCCTCACTGGCACACCGCTCAATGTCTAGTTCTAATATCATTTGTAACCGCTCAAGCTCATTATTAGCAAATATTGTCCATTTTGGCCTTTTATGTATCGCCGTCAGCCACGGTTTTAAAACGCGTCTGCTAGGGAGAGGTTTCCACACCCTCATAAGGAATGTTTTGTTCCCCTCTCCAACCGATATGGATCTCACACAGTGAAATTTGTTTGTGACACTAACTTTCCAGAGAAGGCATAAATCACATAGTTCAAAATATCCCAGGAGGAAGAGAGATATTTACCATGGATGCTATTTCCGTCGTCGGGGGAAAACTCATCGTCTACTGAAGATCCGCTCATGGTCACTGTTTCGGTGTTGTTGCTATCATCAGGTTCCTTCATTTCTTTCACTCCCTGAAACTGGAACAAGTTTAGTTACACAGAGAGAGGTATTGAGAGACATTGAATTATTCAGAACTCAGAATGACTAAACTCATTTTCAGTACCACGGAGCAATACCTTCTGCCATTTATCGACAAACAGTTCGTTGCTATCGGTTGACAAGTGACCGCAATCATGGGGACTATCTGAATATCTGCAGCCTATGCAATTTTCTTTCGTGGCACATTCTGAAGTGGCATAATGCGAATTAGATCCAGAACAAGAAAAAATGTCCTCTCTCGCCATATAAGATTGAGAGGACTCGACCCTACAAGTCAATTCCTGAAGCTTTTGCTCCAACAAAACACTCAAAGCATCGCCGTTTATGGCGTTTAAATTGGGTGAAAATGATGATAGATTCTTCAAATAATCATTCTCACTATAAGAATCAAAGACCAAGCTGTGGTTAATTTTTACAGCCTCATCTGAGTGAGGTTCAGAACTAGATTTCTTCAGTGGGGATGTGAATGTAAAAGAAACAACGTCCATTCCCAGCTTTCGGTTTTCATCACTGTTCATCGAACCATCAACTGCAATATTATATTTGACAGATTTCTCACCGTTGTGGATCAAAGAATTAGATACAGAACTTCCTTCACTACTAACATCCTGACTAACAGATTTTTTCTTCCTTGAGGCAGCATTTCTCTTGGAAGATCCAAAGTCTTTTTTGGCATCAGTTTCTCTCGTGCGTGAGATTTTCGATTCAACTTCGCAGTTGATAAGAATCTTATTTACAGTTTTGCTAGAACCTATGTGACAATTAGCAGACTGAGTCCTTTTGACAGGCTGATTCAGGACTTGGGTTTTTGAAGGCAATTTTTCTTTGTTGGGTAGAGAATTCTGCTTCTGATTGTTTTGAGCTAGAACATTGTTATTCCTCTTCATGGTTCTCTTCTGCATAGTTTTTTGCATGCTGGGCTGGCTTTTGAAAACTTGGCTTGATTTTACGTCAATATGCTCCTTCCGATCCATCGCACCCACCCTGTCACTACAAGAAGTCGAGTCCCCTTTACTCTGATGATTGACCCTTCCTTGAACTGCAAGAGAAACTGGTCTTCCTTTATCTTTTAAACCGTTGGAATTACTTCTATCCGCACCAGTAGACTCCGTCCCCGACACAAGATGTTCGGATCCACTATAGTTCCGCTCACTAGCCTTTCCTTTTCTATTCTTTCCGACGTAATTTTCTGTTGATCGTTCAATTCCAGATGACTTACGCGTAGTTTCCACTTTCTCTTTCAAATCCCGGATTCTCAAGGGCACTGAAGAGTTGGTAATAGATGTCATTTTACTCTTCACAGGTTTCCTTGGACTTGCCTCAATTATCTTGGTAGCTGCTTCCATTAAGTAACCTGTGCTCATTGTTGGAGTAAACCCAGGGCTCTTAATAGGAGACAACAACTTATGATGAGTTATAGGTATAGATTTAGCAGACTTGGGAGGCAATACTTCAGATTGAAATCTCTCAATTGGAAGTTTCGGTACTTTTTGCGCCCGCAAGTCCAAGAGATTCCCAGAAAACCTCTCGAGTTTGTTTGGCATATCAATATAGTCCATAGAATGACAGTTCCATCCTCCATCACTGTTATCATGATGAGAAGCCCCGACCAAGCGGGATTCTAAAAAAGAAGTAGAACAAGGCTCGGGTACGTTAGAAGGCAATGAATCTAACCCCATAAGTCTGGCAACGACACTGGGGACTCGACCCCCACATTTTTCATCACTTGTTTTGGTCAAAGAAAAATCCCAATCACCATTTAATTTATAACTAGAACTTGCTCCATCTTCCCTTGCCTCTAACTACAGATAGAGAATCATTCAGAAAACAGGGTAAACGCAAGACGAAAAATGGAACAGAAATGCCAAGAATTCTTACCTGAAAGAGCTGTGATTTTGACAAGTTGTCAACATTTTCTTTTCCTTGCTTCAATCCTTTTTTGGCAAAATAGGAGAAATCAGCATACTAAAGAAGTAAAATGTTTCTTCAACACTCATTTAATCCATTTCATTATAAGGATAAAGCAAGAACAGAACCCTGAAATAGCACAAGCTCAAAAGCAATAGGTACCAGCTAACTCATTACTGCTTGAGAACAGCCTTTTCCGAGATTTGCCATTCCAATCAAATAAGTTAAGAAAGCCTCCTTTTGAGCGTTTCTTCTCAACCTCCATCTTCTAATCCACAAAAGGCCTAGACAGCAGCCATGGGAAGATCAAAACAGAACCCATAACCAAAAATTTCTCAGAGTTTATCACAGAATCCATTATCCCAATAGCACAATCAAACAAGAGGAGTTTTATCCAATACTTAACAGTTTACATCTCTTGCTCTAATGAGCCTTCCAAGAAACCCTAATTTTACAGCGAGAGAGGTAAAGCAAGGCCTATCAAAGAACCATTTAGCATCTAACAAAGGAGAAAATACCAAAACAAGAACAGAAATAGCAAGCATTGTAGTTAATAAAAATGTGTCATCTCCAAATATAAACCAAATCCTTGGCCGTTCTAACACAAATTTCATCCAAAATTCAGTATCCACAGTGCGACATTTCAAAATTCAAATTGTTCATTCCTCAGACCATGAACAAAATCAACGAACATTTATTGTTTCAAATACGAACAGAATCGAAAACTCAGCCATTGTAATGAAACAAAAAACACATACCTCTCAGCAAACAGATCCCATTTCCAAACTGCTAGTTCGCGACCAGAAACAGGCGGAACAAATCAAAGAGAGAACAAAACTCAGATCTAACAACTAAAAGGTCGCAAAATTGACCAAAAGAGTGCGTTGAAAAGAAGTTAACAGTAAGGAATAGAGATCTTCAGGCGGTAGAGAAAGAAGTACTAAAAGCAAAGGACAGATAGGAAACGTAGAACATTAAAAATGGCAGAATGAGAGAGAAATAAGCTTAAAAACTGGTCTTTTGTGGTGGAAAAAATTTAAGGAATTGAAGAGTCTCCTCCTCCTCCTTCCCCTGCTCACTGCCGTCTGAGAAGTTCTTCTCACTTGAATGCAAATCCCTCGCTTTCTCTCTCTTCTTTCTCTCTCTACTGCCATGTGAGAAGAAGCAGGAAGGTTTCGTGCTTTGGCCCATATTGCAAGAGAACCCCACTTTTCAACTTTCCATGTGGGGCCCACTTAGTTAAAATAAAGATATGAAAATTTAAATAATTTGTTTTCTTTTTTAATTTTTTTTAAATGGAAATTTTCAGTTTTTAAACGGATTCAATCCTGACCGTTGCTTTATTTTATTTTCTTTTCTTTTCTGTTTTAAATAAAGAGATTTTTGTAGTAATATTATTGATATAATGAAGAAATAAATAATTTAAATTGAAAAGAAAAAATAGCTATTTGTTTAAATTCTTGTCTTTTCTTTCTCAAAAGGAACATTTCAAATTTAGAAAGGCAAAAAGGTTTCTTTCTAATTGGTTGATGGAAATTTTGGGACGATCAAATAAATAATATTTATATTAAAATTACAAATTTAAATGTTATAATTTTTGGATAAAAACTAAACCTCTCCAGACTGGTATGATATTATCGACTTTGAGCATAAACTCTCATGATTTTACTTTGTGATTCCCAAAACACCACATACCAATGGAGATAGTATTCTTCAGTTATGAACTCATTATCTTCTACTAAATTGACCAATGTGGGACCCACTCTCAATAATCTTCATCAAACTTTATTATACTAGAGATTTTACCTGAGTCTTTTTTAAATTAATTTTAAAAATTATAGAGACTAAATTCTAATTTTCTAGATTATATATATATATATATATATATTATATATATGTCCTCTTGCTAAAGAAATACGACCGACCGACGATACAGACAGATATATGAGATGATTGATAGAGGTTCCCTATATTGGAGAGTGGAAGGGGAAGTCTCTATTTACATAACATAAAGGATGGGAATGAAGAATGGGAGCCCAACCCATGCATCCCGAGCATAGAGCTAACTAAGAATGAGCTGCATTTGAATAAAAGAACGAACTAGACCGAAGAACTACAATTGAAACAAGACCAAGATTTGAAAGGATAAGAACAAAAAAATAAGAGATTTTTTTCTCAAAAACCTAGAAACTCAAATTATTCGAAAGTTCGACCAAAAAAATTAATGGGTTTTATTTTATTGATTTATATACTAAAGGCATCTCATAAAGTTGAAAGTTAGACACATGCAAGTTGGACACGAAGTAGTGTTTTCAGTGACGGACGGATGAGTAATGCGTAAGAACCCGACCTTGTGAGGGGAACATCAACAAAAAACGAATGTTAATACCTCATATGCTGAGAAGCAAAAGAAGGAATCCACCCGAGGAAGGGCTCCCGTCTGATTAGCTAGTTGATAAAGCAATAACTTACCAAGGCAAATGATCAATAGCTAGTTCGAGAGGATAATCAACCACATTGGAACTGAGACACGATCCAGCCTCCTACAAAAGATAACTATCAATTATTAGACTTCAATTTATTAAAAATTCATAATTAAACTCCGATTTAGTTAATGTTTTATTATTCTAACCAGTCAAATTATAAGTTATCACAATATTATCAATAAAAAAAAAACAATCAAAGTTAGTAACAACAGCACTTATGAGGGCAATGAATAATTGCAAAAGAACTGTTATCAATGGTCGCAGTAAATTTCTAAAGTAATAATTTGCACCTTCAATTAGGTAAAAAAGAGAGGTCAAATATTTATTGCTTTCTTCAACTATTTAAGGATAATAGTTTTTTTTTCCTTTTCTCTTCTTTTTCTTTTTTTGTTACAATTATTTAAGAAAATAGTTGAGAAGACCTGCCAAATTATTCAAAGAGCCACAAATAATTTCACTTCCTCTTTAATTAAATTATAAATTTAAGATAGAATTTCGAACTCGTAATTTAATAAATTTCATAAATAGTTTTTACGATCTATAAACTACTTCTAAAGGATCCTATCAATTAAAACTATATGGACTAAATTCTAACTTTCTCAAAACTAAGGTGTGAGGAGAACAAAACACCCTTTATAAGAGTGTGGAAACCTTCTCTTAACAGACACGTTTTAAAGTCTTGAGAGGAAGCCTGAAAGAAAAAGTTCAAAGAGGACAATATTTGCTAGCGGTGGACTTGGGCCATTACAAATGGTATCATAGCTAGACACCGAACTATGTGTCAGTGAGGTGGCCCTTCCGCGAAGGGGGTAGACACGAGATGGTGTGCCAATAAAGACGTTGGGCCTCAAAGGAGGGTGGATTTGGCGGGGGGTCCCACATCGATAGGAGAAAGGAAAACGTACCAGCCCCAAAGGGGATGGATTTAGCCGAGGTCCCACATCGATTAGAGAAAGGAAACAGGGCACATCGCCCCAAAGGGGGTGGATTTGGCGGGGGTCCCACATCGATTGGATAAAGGAAACGGGGCACATCGATTGGAGAAAGGAAAGAGTACCAGCCTAAAGTGGTGAATTTGGCGAGGTCCTACATTGATTGGAGAAAGGAAACAGGGCACATCGATTGGAGAAAAGAAAGAATGTCAGCCCTGAAGGGAGTGAATTTGGCGAGGGTCCCACATCGATTGGAGAAAAGAAAGAGTGTCAACCCCAAAGGGGTGGATTTGGCAAAGGTCTGTATCGGTTGGAGAAATGCAAGAGTGTAAGCCCCAAAGAAGGTGGATTTGGCGGGGTCCCACATTGATTGGAGAAAGGAAAGAGTGTCTGCCCGGCAAAGGTCCGATTAGAGAAATGCAAGAGTGTAAGCCCCAAAGAAGGTGGATTTGACGGGGTCCCACATTGATTGGAAAAAGGAAAGAGTAACGGAGCTCGAAAGGAAAAGCACAAAGAAAACAATATTTGTGGCTTGGATCCTTACCAGACCAAATTTATGATTTAACCCAATTCAAAATAAAAAAAATCAAACATTTAAAACTCACATTCCGAGTCTATGTTTGGTTCTATTTAGAAACTATCCAAGTTTGGTACTTCCGGTTTTTAATTTACTCATTTAAATTTCAAACTCGTGGAGCAAACTTCTCACAAGCAAGCTTCCCTAATTAAATTATTAGTAATGGGAATCAATAAGTGCATCTAATCATTTCTATTATATTGGCACAATTATAACAACCTCAATCATCTATCTCATACAAGAGTATATTAAAAACCTCATCCAAAGCTAAAAAATTAGCTAACATGTGGACTATTAGAAACCCGAGTCACTATAACATCCCAACATATCATTGAAAATTGGATTAAAAATAGGCTAAAATGTATTAAACAAATCAACCGGACGTAAGAAATTATGTTACAAATATCATATGAATAAAAGAGTTGGCAGAAATCTAGAAGATTTCACCATCGACAAAGATCATACTTCGACTCTTTAAAGCTAAAAGAATCGACCAACAAAATCCAAGAAAAAAAGAAAAATATTGTTTGATTTAAACGAGTAAAAAGACAACTTCAAATAGAGATGTCTAATGAACTTGTGGAACTTGTTTTGAACGAGATGGAAAATTCTCGTTTCAATAGGGAATAGAGCAAGGTGAAAAAAATCTTTTCCAAGTTAGTCATAGAGAGCTGGGAATTGAGACGGGAATTATATTTGTAACGACCCAGCCCCACCACTAACAGATATTATCTTCTTTGGGCTTTCCTTTTCGGGATTCCCCTCAAGATTTTTAAAAAGCATCTTTCAGAGTTAAACAACGGAACCAGTGCTCATCCATATACTGTCCTCTTTGGGCTTTCCCTTATAGGAATAGAGCAAGAAGTGAAAAATCTTTTCCAGGTTAGTTAAAGAGAGCTGGGAATTATATTTGTAACAACTCAGCCCCACCGCTAGCAGATATTGTCTTCTTTGGGCTTTCTTTTTCGAGTTTTCCCTCAAGGTTTTTAAAAATCATCTTTCAGAGTTACATAGCGTAACTAGTGCTCCAAATACAGTACCCTCTTTTGACTTTTCCTTATGAGCTTCCCCATTACTACGAAGTCTGCTAGGGAGAGGTTTCCACCCCCTAAACTAGTGCTCATCCAAATACAATTCTCTTTAGGCTTTTCCTTATGGGCTTTCTCTTATGGGCTTCTCTATTACGGTCTGCTAGGGAGAGTTTTCCACACTCTAAACCCTAAGCCTTCAAGAATTTTGAGTTTTCTCTTCCGAGCTTCCTCATTACACGTTTATTAAGGATAAGTTTCCACTCCTTTATAAAGGGTGTAACGTTCTCCTTCCAACCAACGTGGGATATTGCAGTATTCTTCGTTCCAGTTTCCATCCACCTAAATTCTTTTCAAATATGAAACCAAACGAAGCAGAGTCTAACAAAATCATAAAATAGAAAAATCTAAGATCCTAGATTTTGTTTCTACTAATAAAAATTCAACACAAATTAGAGTTGGAAAATGTTAGATTCTTGACGAACAAATAGAGTCGGCTGAGAAATGATTGGCCATTGCTTCTCGCCAAGAACATGCAATTTGGTCCCACTTCAATTTCAAGATCACTACAATACATTCAATTATTTTAGAGTCGTTTTTTTAAAAATAAAAATAAAATAAAATTCTCTTCCCATTTCATGTTTTCTTTAATTTCATAATAATTATAAACTTTAAGTTTTCAAATCATTAAACTTACAAGTTATGATTTGCCAACCACCCTTACTTTACCCAACTAATCAACTCTCTATTCTATAATATCGATTAACATTTAAATAATAGTGTAAAGCCTAGTACCTTGATAGAAATTATAATAATAATAATAATAATAATAATAAATAAATAAATAAATGATATGTTTTCTTACAAGTAATGTCACGTTTAGGGAGACAATGAGGACATCTTAAAAAAAATTAATTTGATAATCATTTTATTTTCTATTTTCTATTTTTTTTTTAAACAAATTAAGCTCCTAAGCATCATTTCTACCTCTAAATTTCATCCTACATTTTTAAACAACTATTTGAATACTAAAAAAATAATTTTTAAAAATTTGATTTCGTTTTTTAAATTTGGTTTAAAATGATGTGTTTTCAAAGTGAAAAACTTACCAAAAGAAAAAAGAAAAAAATTGCGAGATCTCACTAGAAGATGCGTTTTAAAAACCTTGAGGAAAAGTCCGAAAGGAAAAATTAAAAAGGACAATGTCTGCTGGCGGTGGGCTTGAGTGGTTACAAATGGTATCAAAGTCAGACATAGATAATGTGTCAGCGAAGAGGTGGACACGAGTTAATGTGCCATCAAGGATGCAGGCTCCAAAGGGGTGGATTGGAGGTCCCACATTGATTAGAGAAGGGAATGAATGGTAGCGAGACACTGGCCCTGAAAGGGGGTGGATTGTGAAATCTCACATCTTTATAAGGGTATAGAAACCTCTCCCCAACAGACGCATTAAGAGAAAACTCGAAATGAAAAGTTAAAGAGAATAAGATCGGCTAGCCTTTGGTTAAACTAAAGTAACATATAAATAAACAGAACTAATTCTGCAGCAGAAGCTCCTAAACAATTCCCAACTATCATGACAGCAACATGCATACCTCAATAATCTACAAAGGGGCCTTTTTTCATGTTATCATTTTGACTCTCTATGTCAGTCTTTCAAATAGAGGATTTAGTGAGAGAAAAATTGATGCTCCCAAATACAAATCATCCTGCCACAGTGATAAATCATACGTGATCAAAATAATTGAGTTAGCATAAATACCTGGGTTGAGGACAAGCAAGTTTGCAGTCAAGACGGAAGCATTTCTAGCCTGCTCTGAAGGCACCATGACAAAATAATAGAGGGCTGAACTGTTGTCCCCAAGTATGAAGGTGGAATGGTGTCCATTGCCGCTAATGTCATCTGGTTAGCAAGACTTCTTGTAACAGTCCAAACCCAAGTTCATCGTTAATAGATATTGTTCGCTTTGGTCCATGATTTATTGTCGTCAGCCTCACACTTTTAAAATGCATCTGTTAGGGAGAAGTTTTCACTCTTATAAAGAATGTTTTGTTCTCCTCTCCAACCGATATGGGATCTCACAATTCGCCCTACTTAGGAGTCCAACGTCCTCGCTGTCACACCGCTTGGTGTCTGGCTCTAATACCATTTGTAACAGTCCAAGCTCACCACTAACAAATATTGTCTACTTTGGCCCGTTATGTATCACCGTGAGCCTCACGGTTTTAAAATGTGTCTGTTTAGGAGAGGTTTCCATTCTCCTATAAAGAATGTTTTGTTCCCCTTTCCAACGGATGTGGGATCTCACAATCCACCCTCCTTGAGAGCCCAGCATCCTCGTTGGCACACCGCCTGCTGTCTGGCTCTGATTTCATTTGTAACCGTTCAAGCCCACCACTACCAGATATTGTCCGCTTTGGCCTGTTACGTATCGCCGTCAGCCTCACGGTTTTAAAACACACAAGTTAGGGAGAGATTTCCATACTCTTATAAAGAATGTTTTGTTTCCCTCACCGACGTGGAATCTTACACTTCTTAAGACAATTATCACATGGATAAGAGCCATATTTGCATGCTTTTTTGATCAAATGACACTTTGAAATGCTGAAGCTATGTTTGTCTCCAACATTCCTCCTATGAAATTTCACCGCAAATTAAGGAGCATGAGGTTGCATCAACTAATCGAAATTGTAAAATACTAAAAGTAAGAGGCAGGAACTGTCATGGTGATGAAATGGAGTAACTAACCTTAAGTTCACAGAACTCTTTCATTTTCCTTTCTCGAATCATTGACATCTTACAACTTTCACTTTTAAATCCTTGTCCATTAAGTAACATGCATATGATGCGGCTGAAATCCTTCTTCTGGTACAAGACAATACATAACCCTTTTCCTTGAAGCTTTGAAACCAACATCACTTTCACTGGAAGAATCAATATCGACCAAATTTGGTTTTTCCTCCACTTGAGATGAATGTACCTCCACTTGAGATGAATCTTTTATGATGTGATGGTGGAGGTCGTAGTTTCTAATATGATATTAGAGTTATGCCCTTAACTTAGTCATGTCTATAGAATCCTCAAATGTCGAACAAAAAAGTTGTGAGTCTCGAAGGTATAGTCAAAAGTGACTCAAGTGTCGAATAAAGGGTGTGCTTTGTTCCCTTCGTTCGAGGACTCCAAAGAAATGAGTCGAATCTCGATTAAGGGGAGGTTGTTCCAAGGCTACATAAGCCTTAGAGGAGGCTCTATGGTGTACTTTGTTTGAGGGGAGGATGGTTGAGTGGGAGTCCACGTTAGCTCTAATTAGCTCTAATTAAGAGAATGGTCATAGGTTTATAAGTAAGTAAGTAATGCATTTCCATTGGTATGAGACTTTTCAAGAAACCAAAAGAAAAATCATGAAAACTTATATTTAAAGTGGACAATATCATATCATTGCGGTGATCGTGGTTCTTAATACAGTACTCTAAAGAGATGAATTCCTGCTCATCACCACCTGAACAAAGAAGCACTTTAATAGCTGAATTAGAAGAGCCATTTTTACTCTCTGTTGATCAATCTCACTATAATAACATTATACCACTCGTTAATCAGTATGATAACCTCAACATCATCATCTAAGCAAAATTTAAACCCACCATTTTTAAACGGTTTTTATGATTCATCAACAGAAAAATGATTAATAATTTACTGTAACTTCCCAGTAACCTCTAGCTAATATTATCTTTTTTGGGCTTTTCCTTTTAAACTTTCCCTCAACGCGTCTGCTATTTCCACACTCTTATAAAAAATGTTTCGTTCTTCTCCCCAACCGATGTAGGATCTCACAATCCACCCCTTCGGAGCCAGCATCCTCGCCGGTGCTCGTTCCTTTCTCCAATCGATGTGGACCTCCTCAATCCACCCCATTCGGGGCCCAATGTCCTTATTGGCACATCGCTTCGTATCCATTCCCTTCGGGGCTCAGCCTCTTAGCTAGTACATTGCCCTGGCTTTAATACCATTTGTAATCGCCTAAGTCTACCGCAAGCAGATATTGTCTTCTTTGGGCTTCCTTTCAACGTTCTTAAAATGCATTTGTTAGGGAGAAATTTTCACATACTTATAAAAAAATGTTTCGTTTTCCTCCCAACTGACGTGGAACCGATATAACATATTCTCACTCAAATTATCCACAAATTCCAATGACATATACGTCTTCAAGTTACAGTCCTTTCCCTCAACCTGAACGAAGACGAACAATTACAGTTCTTCTCCTCAACCCATAGCTATGAAGTTAGACTTATTAAAATTTCCAAAACCAGATTCCTACAGCGGCGTACATTTAGAATCAACGAAAAATGAATTAAACGATATTCCGTTGCTCTCATTCAAGTCGCGAAACAGATAAACAGAGGAAACTGCAGTGCAATTTTAGAGTTCAGAAATGGCTAGAGATCCAAGAAATTACCGTAGAGATTGATTATGCATTCCAAGCAGGCCTGCGCCAATTCTTCATCGAAACCAAAATCAGCGGCCAAGCTTCGCAACCGAGCTCTCTCCTTCTCCATGTCGTGACCGCCCATTTTCGGGATGTGGAGGCTTTGTTTCTCCCGCGAAAATTACCTTTATTTTGCTACATTATAAAAAAAATAAAAATAAAAAATACATTGTCCGTATATAAAAATACATTTTTATTATTTTATTATCCGCTAAATTAAATAAAAATATATATTTATATAAAAAATAAAAAAAAATCAACCACCAACATTTTTAGTAAAATACTTTTAAATTTTTTTATTTGGGTATACCTTTAAATTTTTAAAGGTTTTGAAGCTTACTCTGCTACAGCTGACCGTTAGGATAGCAGGGTACCCCCGTTTAAGCTTGAAGTGACTTAGCGCCATGACAAGGGGTATCGGAGCTAAAGGTTCGGGCAAGCCATGACTAGTGGAAAAAAAAAACCGTAGGCTAGTGTCGTCGAAGAGGCTGGGAGCAGACTCATAATTGTGTGGATGCATTGTTATACAACTAAAGGGACATATTTCGAGCTAGCAGGTTGCTTCTCCAGAAAAAGATGTGTTGGTTAGGCGAACCAAAAGACGTAAAGAACGCGGAGCGTGAAGTGCAATTAGATCCATTTTGAAGACGAGTTTTAGAATGATACTCTTAAATTTTCAAATAAATTTAAAAACTATTTTCATTAATACTTTATATAAAAAAGAATATAATTTTTAACCTTTTTTTTTTTTTTTCTAAATTGTAATATAAAAATATTTTAAAATTTTTATTTGCGTAAAAAATACCTTTAAATTTTTTAAAATTTGAATGATAATTTTAAATTTTCAAATAAATTAAAAAAAAAAAACTTTTATCTTAATACTTTATATAAAAAAAATAATTAATTTTTAACGGTATTTTAAAAAATAGTATTAAACTTTAAAAAAATTCACTAATATCATTCCATTTATTTATTTATTATAATTATTTTATTAAGAACAATTTTAATGTTATTTTTATTATTAAAGAAAAAGTTGAATTATTCGTCCTTTTTTTAAAAAAAAAAAAAAAAAAATTAGAATCCGTGTGAGTTTAGAACTGAATGAACAGCCGTGAGAGATAAAAGCCGCCGAAATGGAGGGGGGACAGAGCCGGTAATGGCGAAAGAGAGATCTGCGCGTTCCTGGAAACTCGAAGCTTGGGAAAAATGGCGTCAAGAGTTCATCTCGCAATGTCAAATAAACCTTCGTACGGTCGGCGCATTGACTAGACCAGGTGGTCAGTCCACACAGTGCGAGAAATTCAAGTAACAACTCTTCACGCCAATCATTTCCTCTTCATTTCCTGAAACAAACCCTAATTTAGCGATTTCGTCGTGGTTTCTGTTTACTTTTTTACAGATTAATGTAATTGTTTGATTGGATGTGGGGACAATGAGATCGGTTTTGCCCCTTTCATTCACGTTCGCAGGCCCCTCTAACTTAAAGAACGTGTAATTTTTTTGTCTGATCTTCAAACATCTCTATGCTTTTATGTCGCCGTTCGTCATTTTCATGTGGTTATTGTCGTTCTCAAGGAAAATGGCTCATTCGTTAATGCTTTAAGTGCTGCTGCTATAACCAATGACTGAATTTCCTAGAACTTCGAAGGTAATTTCAGCCGCTTGAAGATTAGAGGCTGAAATGGAGTTTCAGGGGAACTTTCTATTGTAATTTCTGTGCTTCTTCTTGATCAATCAGCCATGTTCATTGATTTCTCTTCAATTTCTCTTCCAAATCCGCTCCCCCAGTCAGTGTCAGATAGGAACACGTAAAGATGGGTATTAGTGGATATTTTATTAGGACATGGCAGTTTTGTTAGTTATCCGAAGCTCAGAGAATTTCTTCCAACTTTCCATTACAAAATCTAGGCAATGTCATGCTTCCTTTAGAAAATGGTTTTGCCTATTCCAACATTTATTTTACAATATAAAATTGACTTCAAGTATTAACGCGTTTCTTCTGTAGTTTGATGGAAGCTTCCTCTTCCCTTCTGAGTACAATAAATTGTCAATAGCCATTTCCTTATAACATTTATCAGCAGAAGAATTCTTAGAGATTTTGGTTGTCTTGAGCTGTTTTCTCGGTATTTGATGGTACAGAAGAGGGCTTTTCATATCTACCATGGCGATGGTTATGGAGCTCCAAATCAAGAGTCAAAACGAATCAATATACTTGGGACGTGAGTATACAGTTAGTCCAAGAACATTGGTGTTCTGTACATTGTTCTTTTATTTTCATACATTTGGTTTCATTTGTGTTTCTGCAGGGCTTTTCTGGAGGATAGCATGTTCACTATTCTCGAACCTTTGATTCGGAGAGTGGTAAGACAAGTCTCTTATTGTTGGTTATAACTAAACTGAATCAATTAAATCTGTTTTAGAATTACTTTGACAGCCTTCTTAGCTCTGTCTTTTAGGTTTGCAATTAAAATTGTAGCCGTTGTAGGATAAAAGGAAATTGGTCTGGTGCCTTGATGGCTTTTGTTTTTTGGCTGCAGACCCTTGTGTACTTCCTCCTTTTTTTTTTTTTTTTTTTTTTTTTTTTTTTTTTTTTTTTTTCCATTNAGAAAGGTCCAACGGAGTTTTAAAGAGTTTCAAAAGATAAACCTCCCTTTAAAACTTGAGATGATGTAGGAAGTTATACCAACTTTAAGCTATTAGTGTGATTGATTCAACAAGTACCAAGGGATTTTGGTTGGCTGATTTCATTTCCGAATTCGCTTGCGACAAGACAAGCTATAGGTCACCTAGTCTCCAGCTGTTTATATCTTTAAATTTCAAACCGTGTTTTAAGTAATAAATAACGATATAACAAAACAAATATACGGAGAGGTGGCTAACACTACCACACTCAAATGGTGAAACAAGCGACAGCCATAGTTATTAAGCAGACCTTTGATTTCAGACATTTGATATTCTATTCTGTGTTTTCTGTATGTTTGTTGATTAGGTAAGAGAAGAAACAGACTGTGCTATTACCAAAAATTTTCTCTCTTCTTCAAGGTACGTACTTTACCCTGTCCTTGCTCAATTTTTTTCGTTGATCATTTGTGAACCGTCTCTCTGCCTTCAAAAACCTTTATTCTGTAAATTTTTCATGCAGTTAAGTTTAGGATTGCTACTTTGATTTTTGCCTCCATGAGTGGTTCATTATTTAGTAAAATTAGTTCGTTGGCATGCATTTTCTGACATATTCATTCATCAATCATTATGTTGGTCTTTCCTCGTTATCCACCTGAATTTTAGCTACCTTTTGGCTCTCCAGCAGCTCAATTAGCGAAGCTGAAACAACGACAGCAGGATTTAGTATGCAGCTGCTGTTTGATGGCAAACTGCCAGATCAAATATTCACAAACAATCCACTGAAAGCCGAGGGGGGCAAACCATTGGAAATTCATCTATGCTATGCCAATTCCAAGACTGTAGTGGAATCTGGTCCACTATCATCGGCGAAAGTCGATTTTTCTGTCATCAGTGGGCAATTTTCCAGAGATGAGGATGATTGGACTGAGGAGGAGTTCAATTCTAAAATTTTAAGTGAAAGAGATGGTAAAAGACCTCTTTTAGCGGGATCCCAGAGTATCGTATTGAAAAATGGGGTTGGAATAATAAAAGATCTAAGCGTTACTGATAATTCCAGCTGGATCCCGAACAGGAAGTTCATATTGGGAGCTAAAATTTCACAAAAAAACTCTGGAGAATATAGAGTTAAGCCAGCCAGAAGCTATCCTTTTTCCGTCAAAGACTGCCGTGGAGAGAGTAAGTTGTGATAGATTGACACTTAGCTCAACACTTAAAGAGAATTACTATCTTGTGTCTTGTTGACCTTCGTTTTCTGGGTACCAGATTCTGATAAATGATAGTATTGTCTGGAACTAATTGCTTGTTTTTCAGGGTATATGAAGCATCATCCTCCAAGTGTGCAAGATGAAGTATGGCGTTTGGAGAACATTCGAAAAGATGGTAAATTCCATCACCAGCTTACCAGACACAACATTCACACTGTCGAAGACTTTCTCCGGCTGAATGAAACAAATCAACGCAAGTTGCGCTCCGTAAGATAGTCTCCATAGTTGTGTTAACTATAATTCTCGATCATTTATGTTTACTTGTTCTTTTTCATTTGTTTTCTTCATCTATTTGACTGACTCTAGGAAGAACAATCTTATAACTCACACTTGGTTTTGTGCCGATGACATTACAGATACTTGACCCAATGTCAGATAGGATGTGGCAAAAAGTTTTGGATCATGCAAAAACTAGCATCACGGGCAGTTGCACGGTTCCAAGATGCCCAAATGGATGGGATGGGGTAATTTATTCTGTTCAACTCTGTCTCAAAAGTTGCCATATTTCTGCATTTAGTAAAATATGATTTTTGTTTGGAAGGAGAAAAGAAAACGATAGGGGAAAGAAAGGAATCGCGATTACTATTATCTTAAAATTTTCATTCTTGTAAAATAAATTTACGTTCCAAAACTTAGCAGCTATCATTTTCGTTTGCAGGCAATAGTTGAAGATCTAAAGCAGCCAATATGTATGAACAGATTTGATGAGCAACCAACCTTCAAACCTCCATTGACCTACCGGCAAGCTGGTCCTATTTCTCCGAATCTACGGTTGCATCCATTGCCTGACGTCATACATTCACAAGGTATAAAATCTGTGATGATATAATTAATACAAGATGGATTTTGTTATTTTAGAGTGTGGTTTGATGATCATACTACCCTTCATAAATAATGAATACAACCAAATTACACATTTCTTTAGAAAATTTACTACCTCTGATGCTAAAGTAGCTCTGTTTCTGTGTTGACTCCTTCAAATTCACTTTTCTGAGGCGGTTGATTTTTTGAAAATAAATGATAACAAAAGGGCCCAAGGTAGTTTGTTCTTGAACCGTCCGTTTGATCGGTTGGGTTCTGGCATGAAAAAGTCCTCCCCAAGTTGCCTTCTTGCATTTCGTTCTTGATTTTGGGGCGTGATTGTATAAACTGACGAATCTCTGAATCGAAACGATATTTTGAGTTCATATATCTTTTTTCACGTCCTGTCGTACAATATCTAGTTCCCTAAAACAATGTATTTCTATTTTCTGAGCAGAGAACCTGCAAATTTGTGCTCCAAATACTAACAACAGCGAACAAGATGGAATACCTTCAATTTTCCAAATACATAACAGTCATGCAGGCCAAATCTTTCCTCCAATACTGCAACCTGATTACATTGTAGATGACTGTACTTTACTGATACAAACTCCAGTTTACTATCCCCCAGCAACACTCGGGCATGGAAACGAGTTTCTTCCTTCTTCGAGTTATGCAGCAGAGGCTGGGGTGTGTGGTATTTCCCCTTATGTGGATCATGTCTCCGATATCTTAAATGGGGCTGATTAAGTTTCAAGCTGTTCTGTGTAGGCAATGTCAATCGAATCTTCGAAATGGAAATGGAAAAGCCAATATTCAGACGTTGTCTCGCCGTGCTCCGGTTCTAAAATGTCAAGTAACTTCCTTTATTGTCTTAGTGTCGTGTAATACTGCTCACCCAAGGAGTAAATTTTCTGCTAAATTTGCAGGTTCTTCTTAATCTGCTTTAGGTTACTTTGTTTTATTTTTTTGTAGATAGTCCTCTTTTGTGTCCCTGCAATATTTATCTTTCCCTTGGGGCCAATGTGCAGCAAAGAGTCTGCTTTCCTCTTTTTATCTATATAAGCTCTGCTAGTTGAAGTTGTTGTAACCTATAAAACAATTAGAAAGGAACATATGTTTTTCTTCGAAATGAACATCACAAGTATACAGGTTCCTACATCGGCTGCCTCGTAGGCCGAGGGCTCGGGTCGTTAAGCGAAGAGGCGACAAGGTACACATTTGTATGGCCTTTGTTTCTATAGTGAAGCATTGATTTGGGGGGAAATATTAATTATTCATACTCATAGCTCCACTGAACCCGAAGAAACTAGAGGGGTTCGTGTATTAGGTTAAGTTAAAAGACATTTTTTTTTATATTCAATTCAATTATTCATATTGTGAGATTTCACATCGGTTGGAGAAGGGGAACAAAGCATTCCTTGCAAGAGTCTGGAAACTTCTCCTATTAGATGCGTTTTAATATTGTGAGGTTGACTATAATGTGTAGCAGGTCAAAGCGGACAATATCTATTAGTGGTGGACTTGGGCCGTTACAAATGGTATTAGAGCTAGACATCGGATGGTGTGTCAATGAGAACGGTGGTTGGAAAGAGGGTGAATTGTGAGATCTCACATTGGTTGGAAGGGAGAACGAAACCTTCTTTTTAAGGGTGTAGAAACCTCTCCCCAATACACATGTTTTAAAACTATGAGAGTGACTCGAAACATAACAGGCCAAAATGGACAATATGTACAGGTGAACTTAGATTTTAATTTTGTTTTTTTAATAAATGTAAAATAGTAATATATAAATTATATATTTATTTATTTTCAGTTATTGATTTGTAATTCAATTTCAATTTAAATTTTTTAAAAATATATTCCAAATGCTTAAAATTTTGCTTTTTTTTTTTTTTTTTTTACCTTTGGAGAAATAAAAAGACAAAAGGGTGTAATTAAATAAAATTATATATATTTTAAATTAATAAATTCAATTGATTTAGTTCAAAACAGATACGTAAATTTAAAGGTCAATTTTTTTAAAAAATATTTTTTAACACGCATAAAAAAAAATCATAATAAAGGAGAAAGAAAATCAATTTTTTTGGATTAAGATCATGGCATATTATTTTTTTAGAGATCCTTTAACCATATATGGGGGGAAAATCTCATTATTTTGTTATTTTATTAATTGTTTACACTCTCAAGTAATTTCATTTTTATATATTTGAATTAAAAAAGTATATATATATATATATATATTTCCAAAAAGGGTATGCAAGGGTATGCAAGTGGCATCAGTAGTAAATATTGTGAATTCGAGTGGCAAATTACGAAGGATAAAAATATCTAGCTTTAAATGTATTCGACTATCAAGTGGGGAAAAAAAAGGAAAAAACTGAAATCTCTCGAACTTTCCTTCGTTCATATCGCGTGCAAGATATTTTCATCTCTTCCTTTGCCGTCAATTCGTCCCTCGTTATAGACCATCCGCAAATCGTTGAAGAAGCCGACGCAACGGAGCTTCCTCTCTTCGTCTTCTTGTTCTTCTCTGTTTTTGAAGCCCTCGGTGGTATTATGGTGTTCTGATCCTTTGTTTGGTGGTTGTTTTTCGAGACTCTTCGGCTTCTCTTCTTTTTGATTTCGGTTTTCGATGGATCGGGGAGGAGGATCCGACGGCGGATCTTCCTACTACGCTATCCTAGGGATTCGTAAGGATGCCTCCCTATCTGAAATCCGTACTGCCTATCGCATGCTTGCTCTGGTACTGAATTCGATTCTCGACGTATTGGTTTTGAAATTCGAGTTTCTTGTTTATTCTGTTTGAGATTTTGAGTTTAGAGGTGATTTGTTTTGTTTTGTTTTGTTTTTTTCGATTGGAGAGTGAGTTTGTGAAATCTGAATGCCTTGTTCTTCTCGTTTGTTTTGCGGTCAAGAAATGGCATCCGGATCGGTGTACGAGGAATCCTTCTGTCGCTGGAGAAGCCAAGCGGCAGTTTCAATTAGTTCAAGAAGCGTATTCAGGTGAGATCATCGGTTCATCCGCCCCTAATCCCTGTCAATTTTGTAAACGCCGTTGAATTCCCGGTCAATGTTCATAGGAAAGGGCACTAACGCGTGTTAGATTGCTCCATCTGCCTCCTCTCTCACAGTTCTCTCCGATCAGGCGAAAAGGTCCGTTTACGACGCCGGTCTTTACGATCCGACGGAAGAAGACGATGAGGTCAGTATTGTTCTTCTTGTTGTTGTTTTTTTTTTTTTTTTTTTTTTCTCTTTCTTGGGCTCTGGTTTAGATATTTTAGCACGCCATGATTATACACACGAAAATACGACGTCGTTTTTCTCATGTTATTGGTATTAATTTTGGTAACACCTTTAAACTAAAAAATTAAAAAAAATTAAAAAAAAAAATAAAACTATATCTTTTAAAATTTTCCTTAATAATCTTAACAATAAACCTTCCTTTTTTTTTTCTTCCTTCCAAAAAAAAAAAATAATAATAATAATGATAAAATTTATGTGGAATTATTCTATTTCCAAAATTAATTATACGTTTCAAAAACATGCATTAAGTAAGAATAATATCGTATCAAAATTTTAAGATTTTAAATTTTTTAAAATTTAAATTGCTTTATAATAAGTTGAAGTACTTACCTGAAACAATTGTATGAAAAATCATAAATAAAAAAATTGTTGCTGTTATTTTTTATATTTTTTTAATGAGATAATCTGTTCATGGGACAGTATTATTTTTTTCTTCATTTTTAAAATTACTTTTTTTAATAAAAAAATCAATACATAAATAGTAAAATTTTAAAAAATAATGATATTTTACGGAATTATTTATCATAGCAGTTTTTTTTTTTTTTTCTTTATTGGGAAAAAAAAAAGCTTTCTCATTACGGTGTGTGGTGCAGGAATTTTGCGATTTCATGCAAGAGATGATATCAATGATGAACAGCGTCAAACCGGAGGTAAAATCCTGACCGTTCAATTTCCAGTTAATTAATTTCTGCCATCCTTGACCGTTCATCTCCTCTATCTGCCGAATTTTATGATAAATTTTGATTTTGTCCCATTTAAATCTTTTATGTTTTATTTTTTAATTTTGAAATTGAATTAAATCAACGTATTATTTATATATTAAAATTGAATATATTTTTAGTTTATTTAAATGGAATTACTTAGTGATAAAAAGGAATAAAGATAAATTCTTCCAAGCAAATTGAAAAATATATACATTTTTAGATAATTGCAATATTTTAAAACAAATTTTAAAGTTAATAATAAAAATAATCTTTTTTTATTTTTGGTTTTTGGGTTTTGCTAGGGTGACAGCTTCGAGGACCTACAGAAGATGTTTATGGAAATGATTGGTTCAGATGGCATCGGAGGGTTCTCCGTGAACGACAATCCAACGGCCACGAAGAGGCCACGTGCAAACGGCTCCAGATCTAGCGAGGCCAAAAGAAGCACCATGCGGCGCTAAACCAAACGCCCCGTCACCGTAAGATCTTTTCCATTCTCTCTGTAATTTTGAAAAATGACGAAAATCTCCCTAGTTGACGTGGAAATATGTGATTGGAGGTGGTGGCCATTGCCTATTTATCCCAGTTTAGGTTCCGAAGGGTGACCTGATAGTTCTTTTTTTCCAAGTAATTTAGTGCAAGTTGGAGGGGCTTTTAGGTCTTTTCCTTGTTGGAGAATATTTATCTTACTTTTTCTCTTTATAGTATTAGAATTATATGATTACCTTGCTTCTTTGATATAAAAATATAAATTTTGGATTAATAGTTTAGCTGATATGATATTAATAAAAAAAGTAACTTTATATTATTTAATTAAAACAAACAAAAGATACGACCAAAATTCTCCTATAATCATTATAAAGATCGCCAATACCTTTTTTTTTTTTTTTTTTTTTTTTTTATAATGTGATTAAAATTTTTTTNTTTATTTTATCATGTGATTGAAACAATTTTTTGAATAGATTGCGTAATATTATATATTATAAATTATATAATATGGTAAAAATAATTATGAAAAATACACACAATAAAACTACCTCCTCGTAACTTAAAGCTTAATAGTAATTGAAATTCTAACTACAAGCAATTTTATGTTTAATAAATATAGTATTGCATAATTTTTTAAATTAGGAATGAAATGGTAAGTAAATTTGCTAATAAATACAAATTTGAAAACAACGGTTTCTTTAGAACTCTTGAACTCGTAAATGACTTATCTTTTAAATATTGAACTCACGATAAATAGGTGTTGGCATAAACATGTTTGAATGATCAATTTGAAGTTCTTTTAAAAAAACGTCTTCCATTTGGAAAAATTACTTTATTTGGTTTGTTCATAACTTTAATTTCTTAGTAATTTTAAAAGTTTGGTTAAATTACAAATTTGTTCTCATGGTTTGATAAAATATCATAATTAATATTCGATTATAAACCAACGTTGATTACGTGGTAGTTAGCTATATATATGTATCATTAAGGTGGTCTTCAATTAGCTCGATTTTGAAAATTAAACCTATAAATAATAATGTCACAAATGTTCTTATTTTATTTTTTATTTTATTTTTATCTATTTTTAGCTATATTTTAAAATAATAAAAAAAAGATTTTAAATAAAACATAAATTTAAAATCAAAAAATTACAATACTTTGATAATAATAAAATAATAAAATAATAATAATAGTTAGTGTCAATTCCGTAATAATCTCCAAATCTGAGCCGATTTACATTCCGCAGCCCGCTCTTCAGCACGCCTATATAAATTCATGGGTAGGGTTCTCCAACGTTCACTATCATTTCTCTCTCTCTCTCCTCTCTCTCTCTCTTCCACTGTGAAACTAAAAAAACTCAAAAAGAAAAAGAAAAAAAAAAAAAAAAAGAGAGAGAAAAAACTTCGGACCCAAGTTCTTCCTCTCTCTCTTCTCTTCTCCGGCGAACAAACTCCCTCGAATTCTCATCGCCAGCACCGTAGATTTGCTATACTAATAAGGGTTTGAGTTTGTCTCTTTTGGTAATATAACGATGTCGCTGAGGCCGAACGAGAGGGCCGAGGTTCGGCGGAACCGGTACAAGGTCGCCGTGGACGCCGATGAAGGTCGGAGAAGAAGGGAGGACAATATGGTTGAGATTCGGAAGAATCGCAGAGAGGAGAGCCTGCAGAAGAAGAGGCGTGAGGGTCTTCAAGCCCAGCAACTGCAAACTTCCGCTCACTCTTCGGTGCTGGAAAAGAAGGTCAATATCGAATGAGTGTGGTTTTTGATTGTTTTGTTCATTTTTGGATTTTTGTTTGCTGTGCTTTCGGAGGAGAGTTGTGGTTTTGCTGTTTGATGTTTGATTTTGGTGGCTGTTTAGGGTTTTTGAGCTTGACGATCGTGTTTTATTGAGTTTGATTCTGAGGAAATTTGAATGTTATTATAACGTAGATTGTTTTGGTGAATTCGTTTCTCGAATTTGTTCAAGATCAAGGCAGAGTTTTCATTTCGATTGTTGGGGCAGTGTGATCATGCTGTGTTCATTATAGCTGTTGGTTGCCACTTACATCTGGGGAAATTGCTTTATTGAACTTCTACACTGAGTTTCGGGCCTTCTGGTTCATTGAATTATCCAGACAATAACAATTGGCTGACTTGCTCTTCGTTTTTAGTAGCATTTCATCCAGTCATAATTCTCCGATCTTGAATTTTAAAACTAATTTAGCTCCAGTTGGTAAATGTATTGCTGATGTGAATTATTCTTACCCGATAAAAATCGTAGTGTTCGTATTTGTTATTCAATGGACAAATTCGGTAAAGCTTTGCATTTGCTCTCCTGTAAAGATTTCTTCTGTTTTCCCTTTTTGCGTCAGTGTACTGATTTAGCTGAATGAGTTTGAATTATGTAATTGTTTTAAATTCAGTTATTTCATTTGAACTTTGAGCGAGTCTTTGTTTGTTAATGTGGAAATGTTTAACTGCAGTTGGAACATCTACCATCCATGGTTGCGGGTGTTTGGTCTGATGAGGGTAATATGCAACTCGAAGCTACCACTCAATTTAGGAAACTTCTTTCTATTGGTAAGTAATATCTTAATATTGATTATTGTTGTGTTTGTATTTAGATTGTATGTGACCTTAAAACATTTCTTCTTCAGAGCATAGTCCCCCGATTGAAGAAGTTATACAGTCAGGAGTTGTTCCTCGCTTTGTAGAATTTCTCATGAGAGAGGACTTTCCACAGCTTCAGGTGTGATATCGATTAGATTATAGATGATTACAGCATTTCTAAAATGTAATTAAGTGATAACACCCTTGTTGCATCAAAATTACATGCAGTTTGAAGCTGCTTGGGCTCTTACAAATATCGCTTCAGGAACATCAGAAAACACTAAGGTCGTCATTGATCATGGTGCTGTGCCAATTTTTGTGAAACTTCTTGGTTCTCCGAGTGATGATGTCCGGGAGCAGGTAAGCTTTTTGAGTTTCTTTACGCATCTTTACACAGACATGCCTATGGGATCTTTATCCCATTCATGCCTTTATTATTTTCCCATCCTTTATTTTAGGTCAAAATATGGCCTCATTTTCCATCAAAGTTAGTTGCATTGAATTTTTTTTCATTTCTTGTAAAATGGAGAGGAAATAAGTTCAGACATCCTGTTCTAGAGATATTGTTAGTTGATTTGCTAGTATAGTTGAATAAGGAAGCATTGTTATATGAAATGTTCAATTGTTTTCCCCTTCCATGTGCAGGCTGTTTGGGCGTTAGGAAACGTTGCTGGGGATTCTTCAAGATGTCGTGATCTGGTTCTTGGTCATGGAGCATTGCTTCCTTTACTAGCACAGTTGAATGAGCAAGCTAAGCTTTCTATGCTGAGAAATGCTACCTGGACGTTATCAAATTTTTGCAGGGGCAAGCCACAGCCCGCTTTTGATCTGGTGGGTAATTTTTCTAAGATTGAGTTCGGAGAGAGAGAGAGTATATTAGTAATTGGGTTTTGGATAAAGCTTGTTCCCTCCGCCCTCATTTTGACCTTTTACTTATTTATGTACGTAGGAAGGTTTTTGAGACTCGGTGGATATCCACTCTACTGTTTACTAGAAAATAGGAATGTGTGTGTGTGTGTATATATTTATTTATTTATTTTCCTTGACTATCTAGTGGGTTTATATTCCTAATAGTCACTTGCCATTTTTCTGACAGGTTAAGCCAGCACTTCCAGCTCTTGCACGTCTTATACATTCAAATGATGAAGAAGTTTTGACTGATGCTTGTTGGGCACTCTCATACCTCTCTGATGGTACGAACGACAAAATTCAAGCTGTTATCGAAGCAGGTGTATGCCCTCGGCTCGTTGAGCTCTTAATGTGAGTGTATGATCATTCAGGGGTATTATACTTTTCTTATTTCATTCATCTAAAATAGATGCTTTATTATCTTCCAGGCATCCTGCTCCTTCAGTCCTCATTCCTGCCCTTCGAACTGTTGGAAACATTGTTACGGGCGATGACTTGCAAACTCAGGTATGTACACTATTTTTTTGGTCACATTAACTGGCTGATGCTTACGGACATCTGACCTCACTTAGCATGTTGCTAGCGAATTACAATTTCCTTTTCGTTGTTTCTGTGATTACTTTTTGCACGTATATTCTCCCCTTTGGAGAAATCAAATGTGGTCACTTGTATGTTTCCTCTTTCTACTTGGTTTTGGAAATAACTATACACATTTTATGTGGAATCTGTTCGGAAGTTGCTCTTGTTCTAGGTTTCCCGAAACTTGAACATAAGTTATATTTTCTTTTCCTGTGTTGCTGAAAACATAACTTCATTGGAATTGCTAAATAATGTTCTTGATGCGATGAAATCATATATTATTCATAGTTCATCTTGTTTGAACTTGGAGAAGTGTAGATTATAAAACATTTTGGTTTTTATTAATTGTATTTTGAGAGAATCCTCCAGTTGGAGTTGGATCTCATCAGTTGATACCCCATACATTTTGGTCGGACCCTTTGGACGAACCTGGATTGCTTCCCACTGCCTTCACCCTCTCGTAGCCTCGGATTCCATATTTTACACCTTAATTTTCTCCCATACGATTGTTGCAAGATTACTCTTCATTCCCTCCCTATTGTTTTCCACTTCTAGCAAATTTCTCCTAGATTCTAGATCCATTTCTGGGATTGAATTGCTCTATACTAATTCGATAGCAACCAGAGAATTGAAATATAAGACATAGTAAGAACTTTTATATTCCAACTAATTAGGGGAACTTGGACAACTCCCCCCAGGAAAATCTAGCCTGGACTAATGGAAATAGCTACTTATTAACATACTCCTTAGCTAGTGACTAATATGTCTTGAGCATCTTAAGAATATTTCTAACACTAATAATATTCCTGACATTATCCTTGGAAGAATGAGTATTTCAGTCATTTATTTCTTCGGTGTTGGTCGAATAACAATAGCTGTCATCGCTCATTTGACATAGATAGTTTATATCATGACACTTAAGGAGCCATTCCTCATCACCTGCATAATGATTTGACTAAGTCCTGTCTTTCCATTGGACTCTTATGCTCTGTTTCACTTTCAATTGGTTCGTTTTGTTGCATATACTGTGGAGACTAATTGAAGTTGAAGGTGAAATTAGAAATTGAAATACTAGGGTTCCGTCTCTCTCTTCTCAGCAATAAATACATGCCATTGAATAAATTAAAAGATAAGAAAATTTGCCACACATTCCCTATAT